CTGCAAGACCTTTTGTTCCCAGGCCATGGCCCATCCCTGGCTATGCAGGCTATTCCTTTGGGAGGGTCTAAAAGAGAAAGTATCTATCCTAACGCTGCAAATCAAGGGCAGGGGATGCCTCCCCTGCCAGCTCACACCTCCCTGGACAGCTTACCCTGCTGAGCTGCTGCCCCAAGGTTATCTGAATCCCGAGCAATGCCTGCAGCCCTGACACTCGGGCTTGCCTGCCAGTGGGCTCATTATGCTGACATTTGTTTTCCTCTCTTCCCGAAAGAGGTTGAGGAAGATCAGTGAAACTATGTACCATGGATTTTATTGCATTCCAGCCTCTTGATTTATTTTTTTTAATGTTCCAGGGCTCTCTGGCCCTAATTCAAGCCTTCAACATCTGCTGCTCTTTGACTCTTTCAGCATCAGCACGCCATGCCACCTCAGCCCCGATGCTGGACCCCAGCATCCTCCACCAGCCCTCCTGTGGCATGGATGTGGGCCCCCTCCACCCTTGCCCCCCTCACCTTTCTGGATCTGCAGCTCCACAAAGTTGTGAGCAATCTGCAAGGTGCGGGGCTTGCTCTGCTCCCGCTTGGCCTCCATGACGTAGCAGCAGTAATTCCCGCTGTCCTGCAGCGTCAGGTTCATCACCACGATGTGAAAGGCACCGTGGTGGTCAGGGATAAATTCCACCCCGCGATGCGCCCTAGGCGAGGACTTGTGGGTGCCGTTGCCCGGCGTGTCGTGGTGCCTGCCCAGGTCGCGGTGCAGCTCCCTCTCGGTGACGTTGCGGATGCGTTCCTTCTCGGAGCAGCTCTGGTCGCCGTTGCTGCTGAAGAACCAGGTTTTGTAGAGCAGGTCGTGGTGGTCGGCAAGGGGACCGCTGATCCGGCAGGTCAGGGTGACGTTCTGGCCCTCGGGGCAGATGCAGAGTGAGTACGGGGTGGTGATCAGGAAAGCTGACGACCCTCCTGTCAGGAAGAAGGCATGGAAGGAGACGTGGGCTTACCCTGAATTCCAAGCAAACTGGGGATCCCTCCCCAAATAAGCACTGCAAACCCCGCCACCGATGTTGGCAGAGGGATGGCCAGGGGTTGCAGAGAGCAAGCAGAGCGTCCACACCAGCCTGCAGACAGAGAGAAAAAACCCTTCATCCATGCTTTTAGGGCAAGAAAAGCTCATGAGCTCCCTGTATCCCGAGAGAAGGGAGATGGAAAGCCCTTTGCGTGCTCTGTAATAACAACCCAGCAGGGCTAGAAGCACAGCTTCACCCTGGATATCAGCTGGGGGAAAGAGGCATGCTTTAAATACAGCTGAGCATCAGCTTTTCACAGCAGCACGGAGCTGGGAAATGGCCCAGCGTTGGCAGAGTGGGGCAAGGAGGATGGGGTCTGCCCCAGATGCCGGCTTATGGGGCACCAGACCTCTGCCAAACGGGGCAGCGGGTTACGGCTTGCAAATGAGGAAATACAAGTGCTGCTGAGCCGGCTGCAAATCAAAAGGAGGACAAAAATAGGAGGAGGCTGTGCTCTCCGAGATCAGGCAGGGAATGAGTCCCACCCTGCTTGGTTTTCAGCCCCTGAGGAGGAGAAGGGGGAACCAGCGATGCTGACTGTGAGGAGCTGCTGGAAAACGACAACAATTTTGAGAACGCCAGCCCTGAGCACTGCTGGCTGCACAGCGCGTAGCGGGAGGCCTGGCAGAGGCACAGGAGCGTGTCGGGGGGACGGAGGGAATCGGGGGAGCGTACCACGGCGTCACTGGTCCTGTCCCAGCACTCTGGCAGAGGGTACTGATGGGGAAGGGGGGGCTGTGTATGAGGGGAGAGAAGAAAGGTGGGCGAGCCTTTGGCGCTGTGGCCGCTTTCCGTTTCCAGAATTGCAAATGACACTTTCAGAAGCTGAAGAATAAGGAGATTCTAGGTTCATCTTTAAATTCTTGAGGAAAAAAAAAAAAAAACAGGAGGTTCCTGGGTCTGTTTTGCAACAGAGAAAATGGTATGAGGACAAGATGTTATTTTATTTTGGTAACATCCTGTTGTGCCATTAGCTCCGCCACTGTTTCGCTTTGAGGTTTTTCACTTGCTATATCGAGCGGGCGTCAATCTCGGGCGGCGTGCGCTGCGCCTGCCCACAGGCCATCCAGCCGGGTGAGAGGCTCCCCATCACCGGGCTGCCCGGAGAGCATCCTCCTCTGGGCCGGGTCACCGCGTCACCGCCCCGGCACAGGGCTCTCCGCTTGAGAGAGCGAAAGCGAAAATCTCCCCCGTGCCTTCCATCCCTCGTGGGTGTTCGTGGGGGATCTCTAAGCCCCCTAAGAGCAGCTACGAAGCCCCCCGAGTCCCAGCAGCCTGCCTCCAAGGGGGCTTGAGAGGGAGAAAGGGGGTTGGGAAGGGGATCTGCCCCATCAGACCCCCTGGTCTGCAGCACGAGGAGTCCCACAGAGCCAGGGATGGCGTGACCTTTGCCAAACCTCTCTGGCTAATTGCTCCTGCATCCTGCAGGCAGCAGCACATCCCCAGGGCCCCTCTGGGGCAGAGATTTGCATGGCTTCAGCTCAACATGCCCCTTTTTGGCTTGTTTTCAAGCTCCGGCTGCTCCCCATCCTCAGATGCTGCCGGGGCCGGGATGCTTGGCTGGGCTGGGCGGGTTTTGGCACACAGCGGAGCGGGTCCCCCACCTCCGTGCCAGCACTCCGAGCACAAAAGGCGCCTCAGATGTGTTTCTCAATACCTGCTGCAAGGGGAAGTGCCCCATTCACGACAGGGGTCCCCCGGGAGCCAGGAGAAGGGAAGCCAGGGCTCTATTGGAGGAAGCTACACTTCCAACACCTTGCAAAAGTATCTGCGGGAGTCTTTGTTTTCCACGCGTGCCCCCCCCTCAAATAAAATGGGACTGTCCCGCTCATCCCCCCATAGTTTACAAAGCTCTGCCTTAACTAAACCATCCAGCCTCCACCTCCGGGCCTTGATGGGAACCGTCTGGATGGAAAGTCAACACAGCCCACGCTTTCGGGGAGGGGCAGAGGTTACCACGTGTGCGATGCATTACCAACTTCCCTTCTTTCTCCTGAGCAGGGGAAGTCTTCCAAAAGCCATCAGGCGGAGGAGAAAAGAGCTGGCAAAGCACAGTGTGCCCCCCCAGCAGTGCCAGGGAGGTTGTTGATATCTCCCCAAGATGTAGAGAGGCTTAAAATCCATGCTAGATGCCAGATGGTGCCCGGAGGAAACATCTTCTGTCAGCATCTTTACTCTAAAGCTCGTGGGTCTTAATCTTCCCTGGGTGCTGTGGGCTTCTTCCATGTCCAGAGCCCAGGTTTGGCTTCGTCCCATCCCTGTCAGACCATTCCCTTTGAAGTCAGCGCCGCGGGCACATGCCAAAGTAAAGCCAGATGTCCGGCTCTGCGCAGCTCCAGCCGAGAGAGCCGGGGGAGTGCTGGACCCGTCGAGGTCCAAGACGAGAGCTGTCGTCTTATCGCCATCTGGTAACGACCAAGGAGGTCTCAAGTGGGTGCCAAAAGTGCCCCTCTTCCTCTTTGGCACCTCAGTAGCTTCAGCTCCTCCCTGCTGAGCCTGTTGTGCTGGTGCGGCACAGGGCCTGGTGCAGCACTGGTGCTGGCACCGCTGCCTAGCTTGAAACCTGGGGGTTTGCTGAGGAGGGGCTGCCACAGACCGAGTGGGTGCTTAGTGCTGGAGTGAGGAATCCAGCTTTAATTTCCCTCTGGGAGGTTTTTGAACAGCCTCACATGAAAGTGTGACAAGCCCCATCATCCCTGTGCTGTCATTATGCTTCAGAGTTATCAGCCAGGTGAGATGTGTTGGGGCATCCATCCCTCAGCACAACTACATGCAGCAGGAAAGGAACAACTTGGTGAAGGTGCCAGGTGCCCGTGTTAACGGCCCTCACCTCCCACACCCTGAGGAGCCAAATGGCTTTGCAGTGGTGAGGCCACTCCATGGGTATCCATCATCCAGGCTGTGGGGAGAGGAGCCAGGAGCTCATGCATCCGACAAAGGCTCCTGCCTTGCTCCTCTTGCAGCATGGCACTGACTCAGGGACAGGGTCACAATGCTGGGTTTGCCCTCGGGATGTGATTTTGGAAAGGCCAGCTCAGCTGCCATCCCTTGGAATGAGAGGAGCTGCTTCTCCACCCACCTAGCAGCCAGCATCCCCAAACCACGTGGGATCTGAATGACTCCAAGGGCTCTGCTTGTCCATCAAGCCCTGCTAAAATTATCCAGGGGTTCAGAAAGTTTTGGCAAGCTCACATTGAACGTCAGTGTCCGAGCTTGTCACGTTGCAGAAGTCCCGGTGGTCAGTCCCCAGACATGTAAATGAAATAATCCAAAGCCTCACGGAGATGCTGGGAATCGCTCCGTGGTGTTGAGAGGCTCAGATGAGAAGGAAAACACTCTTCAATCCACACCGGCCTTGTTGTCCCAGAGGAGGGAGAAGGGACCCCTTGCTCCATTGCATGGGGGGCATCATTTCTTCCTGGGGATGTGCCAGCAGAAATCCTGGAGGCAGTCGCTTTGCCATCCCAGAGCAGAGGGAGAAGCCAAGCCAGGTGGGATGCTCATCCTCCACCTGGGCAGGGCAGGGAGGGGCCATGGTCCTTCCCAGCTTCATTATCAGCCTTCATCCACAGATGAGCTGTGGGTTTAAATTGCCACTGCCCCTGTTCTCCTGCCTGGCCCCGGAGCCCTGGTGCGGAAAGGCTGCCTGCCAAGGGCTGGTGCAGACTCAGGCATGAAGCAACCCCGGGCATGACCCCGCCGTGCGAGCTTCCAGCGCTGGGAAGCGCTCGCTGAAGGGAAGGGAAACTCGGTGACCACTGTTCGCCCGGAGAAGGTGCCCAGCACGCCCCAGCAACTAACGGCAGAGCAGCGCATCCTTACAGA